AGGGCTTTAGGATTTTAGGGTCTAGGGTTCAGCCTTTCGGGGGTGTCGGGGTTTTGGGGTTTGGGGTGTTATTGGGCTTATAAGCTTTAGGTTTAGGGCTTCGGAAGGGCAAAGGGGCTTCGGGCTTAGGGTTTAGAGGCTATGCGGCTGATAAGGTTGTGTTTGGAGGGCTTTACCGGTTTAGGGCTTGGGGTTCAAAAAGGGTTTTGGGATTAGGGCTTGGTGGTTACAAGGTGTTGGGTTTAAGGTTGTCTCGGGTTTAGGGCTTACCGGGCTTACGGTTTTGGGTCTGGGATTTAAGGCTTATTGAGTTTAGGGTTGTGCATCTGGGCTTAAGGGCGTTTTGCTCAAGGGTTTGGGGTCTAGGCTTTAGGGCTGTTGCAGGCTTAAGGGTTTAGGGTCTTGGTCTAAGGGCTTATGGGGTCAAGGGTTTGGCCTTTGCTTCAAAGGCATCAAGGGTGCAAGACATGTCTGGGTTCAAGATGGTTCAACTATAGGTTTGAAAGTAGGTAGGGAGAGTCCGTGTGCGCACTCGTAACTTAGCATGATTCTATTGCAGAGCAAATCTTGATGCATGCAGGTTCAGGAGCTTCCCGGAGAGACACGTGCGATTTTTTGAAACTCCAGACTGAGAGCCCCAACCCCCACAATCACAGCCCAAGCATGGGCCTTTTCCCTTAACCCGTAGTCAATCTCTTAGGATTTGAAGGGTTCGTAGAGAAACGCATCCCTGTGAAGGAAAATGCGTGTTGCACTAGTCACTACTCGTACTCGAGTACAGCTGTAGAACCACGATCATGCAGACAGCCGTGGTCGCCCCTAAACCCTAAACCCCTGTACAATATACCCTATATGTACCCTTAAGGGACCCTAGAACCCCTCTCAGGGCCCATGTGAGGGAAACCTATATCCAGGAACCCGGGACCGGCCTGGCGCGGGGCATAGGTCTCCTGGGCGAATGAAAGACGAGGCAACGAAAAGCTAGCAACCTTCTGCCAAGCTACGATCGAGGAGGTCTTCGGCTGTCGCCGGATTGTCTTTGTAGACGTGCTGCCGTAATTCATGTGACCCGAAGCCCATGACTCAACATCGGTTCAAGACCAGCCTCCGAATCGAAGCCTGCATGCATGCACTTCGGCCTGCAAACTCGTCCTGTCTGTCTGTCTGTCTGTCTGTCTGTCTGTCTGTCTGTCTGTCCGTCTGTCTGTCTGTCTGTCGGTCTGTCTGTCGGTCTGTCTGTCTGTCTGTCGGTCTGTCTGTCTGTCCGTCTGTCTGTCTATCCGTCGGTCGCTCGGTCTGCCTTTCTGTCTTTGTGCACATATGCCGTATGCATGTATGCGTGTATCAATGTATGAATGTATGTATGCAGGCATGCAGACATGTAACGTATGTATGCATCTATACGTGCATGCCTGCACATCATAAGGCAATACCTCCGCCAACAACATGCTCGGCAGGACCTGTCTTCGCTTCATCTTCTTTGTCGCTATCATGCCCATCTCGTTGTCATCACAACCAGCATTGCCGCCACCACCGCCACCACCATCATCATCAGCATCATCATCAAGGCCGCTTATCATCATCAGCCCCATCTGCAACCGACTCCCCACTGACACTCCTCCTCCCGAAGGCGCGTGGAAGCTTGGCCGACGTCACGCTTCATGGCCAAGCCGGACATGAAGCCTCCCAGGGTCCCAGAATGCAGTGAACAGCAAGAGCCTGATGCTACTTAGAGGATCATGGGACTTAGTAAGTAGGGTTATAATTAGGGTAACTATACTTACAACCCCAATTAGGGGACTTATAACCTTGCTTACTACGTCCCATGATCCTCCAAGTACCTTCTGCCAGATACTGCGACTACGACTATACGACGAAGAAAATAACGGCGGCCGCTGTCGCTACCACTGCTACCACTGCTACTCCTACTACTACTACTACTACTACTACTACTACTACTACTACGACCGACCACGACTACGACTACGACTACGACTGCGACTACGACTACGACTACGACTACGACTACGACTACGACTACGACTACGACTACGACTACGACTACGAGTACTACTACGACTACGACGACGACGACTCCTACTACTACTTCTGCTTCTGCTCAAATTTGTGGTGGGAGCTTTGCGGCGGGGTCGGGCACCACCCGGAAGGCAGATCTGACCACCGTGCCTATGGGCTTGCGCGCGTAGTCCTTCCCCGTGCCTGCAAACGGCTGCGAGGGAGATCGAAGATTGGGTTCGGGGAAATGTTGCCTTAGTAAGGATGCCGCGCAAAGTGTCGCACCCTTACAGGCTCAAAATCGGTGAATTAAGTCTGACATTCAAGTGCCCCCGAAGTGGCAAGCAGGCCTGTCATGACAAACAGGAACGCAAGCAAACGGGCAAACATCGTTGTGGCGCGGACAGGGCCACACATGAGACTAACCGATTCATTCGCTTAGGGTTTAGGGTTTAGGGTTTAGGGTTTAGAATCTTCGACGTTCCACCGTGACGAGTCCCAGAGGGGTGCATCGATTCTGTGCAGAACCCCGAGCAGAAAAACAACAAGAAACGAACGAAGGAGTAGGTAACCACACTGATACAGGGCAATATAGGAGCCTTGCACAAGTACTATTGTTAAGACAGGGGGCTCTAAGAAACAGTACTAGTGTTACTGCTTATACTTACTGAGGCTTCTGCAGCACCCAGAAACCTAACTTGCAATCCTACACTCTTAACTCTTAACCTAGACCTTGTTGAAAAAAAAACCTAATCTATTCACTAGCTCTGAACCATAAACCCTGCTCATGAATCCCACACCCTAGACTGTTTTAATAATTCCGAAACCCTAGACAGTATAATTAAACCCTGACGTAAAGCCCTACATGACCCTCCCCAGCAGCCTCGGGAGGAGCAGTCACTGTTGTAAGACATCTGCCTACTATGAGTCCTGTCGTGTCACATCGCCTAAACCCTTCGATCCCACCGAAACCTCCTGAAGCACTATACAGGTAATGTAGGGACCTAAATTACCGATACTATTTTGGGGGGTTCCTTATTATTCTAGTATAATGGGCCCCCAAACCCTATTCTAATTATTAAAGCCCCTATATTTCTCACTCGGTGCTTCCAGGGCCACCTGGCATAGATGGCTGTAGCAGATCCCTTGCACCCTCGACCCGAAATTCCTAGACCTAAACTCCCAAACCCAAAGGGTCCAAGTTATACTATAGTATATACTTTCGGGGCCCAAATACCTACAAAGTAGCTACCATATTAATACTTGGGCCATTTAGGAAACCCAAGATGCTGGACAACCGAAGTGCCCTTAAGCTAGGCCCCAGAAACATCACTGAGTCCAAACGTCACTGAGGAAAGCGCTGCAAACAGCTCGTTCTCGCTGCCTCGCTCGAAGCTCCTGGCTACGGAAGCAGAAGGGTACATAGCTTGTCAAACCGTCTTTATAAGGAACTGTACGATTTTTAGAACTAAGTCTGCAACTGCTGGCTACTTTGGGCTGTTTGGGGTCTTCGGTGGCTGCTGAGCTCAAAGGGCTGCAAGGTCTGCTGCGCTACTTCCTCGACGCGAAAGGTCTGCTTCTCATCTTTGCAGAAGGCTCAAACGCAGAATAGGGTTTTGGGGTATATTATACTATAGTTATAGTAAGGAACCCCCCAAAATTATACTATATAGTTATAATAAGGAACCCCCAAATTATACTATATAGTTATAATAAGGAACCCCCCAAAATAATGTAGGGAGGCCCTAGCCTGTGGCTCACGAATAAGGCAGTCCTTAGGCTGAACCCACACTTCCTGCCAGCGCAAAACCCCCCAAAGCCCCAGTAAGCTAGGGTGTAGGGTTTAGGGTTTAAGCTAGCTTCTGGATTAGAGCCCAAGGCCTAAACCCTTAATTAACCGCTTTAAACCTTAAACCCTAAGCACCTTAATTTAATTAAGCTCATAAATAGCCTTAAACCCAAGACCTTCAATCCCATGCATGTCAAAGCCCCCCGCAAAATCATGAACTCCTAAGCCCTTGTCCGCAAGTCCCAATTACAACTCGCAGAAAATCGCAAACTCTAAAGCCTGAAACTTTAAATCCTCATGCTTGAGCCCTAAACCCAGAAACCGAAACGCAAAACTTAATCCCCACAGCCGTAAACCTTCGCACCCAATCTTTGTACACAAGCTATAGGAACACAGCCGTATAAAGAACCTATAAACCGTCCTGCAAAGATTCGAACACCCGTATAAAGAACCTCCATGAAACCTCTAAACCCTAAACTGTAACACCCCTGAGCCCTAAACCCTAAAACCCCAAACCCTAAAACCTAGGAACCCCTAAACCCTAAACCCTAAACCCTAAACCTACAAAACGCCCGCGTTTGGAGCCTCCAACATCTCCTCGAGGGATTGGCCCCGACTCCGCGTCAGGTCGGGAGAACCCGAACGAGGTCCTCAAAGCAAGGCATCAACGGTTTAGGGTTTAGGGTTTAGGGTCCTCAAAGCAAGGCATCAGGGCTTGTAATGTAGGGGCCTTAATAATTAGAATAGGGTTTTGAGGTATATTATACTATGCAGAATAAGGAACCCCCCAAAATCCTACAAAGCAAGGGATCAGGGCTTACAGGGCTTTTTGGGGATGGTAATTGAAATCGTTTTAGCTTTTGGGATTGACATCATACCGTTTTTTTTTTATGATTGTGGTTATGACGATGATTATGACTGTTATGAAATAGAAGGTTTAGGGTTTACAGGACAAAGATCTTATAAGGCTTACGGCTACTCGGGTCTATGCTAGGGTTTAAGGTTTGGGGCTTTGCGGCTTGCAACGTTTAGGGCTTAGGGATGGGGTTCAAGGATTCATAGGGTTTAGGTTTAGGGTTGGGGGTTTACAGGTTCAGGGGTTGAGGGCCTAAAGGGCTTGCTAGGGAGCTCCCAAAGGTATGTCAATCATGGCAGGGGTTTAGGGTTTAGGCTTACATGACAATCGTAAATGCAGCGACCAGAATGGCAGTGACAATAATCATAAGAAGAGTGTTGACAATTGCAAGAGCTGCAACAAACACTAGCATCAACAACACGTACAACAGCCACAATCATGATGGCACGAGAAATAATCATGATAGACATGACACTGCAGTTTTTCCGAGTAGAGTTTATGGGTTCAGGGCACGAGCGCTTCGGGGGTGGGATGGGGATTCGGGTTTGTGGGATTTCAGAGTTTGGGTTCAAGGTTTATAAGTTGTTTAAGGTTGCTCAGCTCCTGCTGTCTAGTATCTAGTTTGCCTGGTGCTTACTTTTGCTTCACTGCCTCAGTTCTACGAATACGATTGTTGCCTTCATTATGTTGATCATGATATATCTGGGGTTGACGGTGTTAGACTCAACGTTCGAAGTTGCAGGTAGTTAATTCATGGCTTGTGGTTCAAGGCAGATGCGGCCCAGCAGCTTAACTTTAACAGTGCAAAATTTGGGGATGCATGTTCGGGAAAGCTGCCATGGTTGTGTTCCCTTAACCCGAAACCCCTAAACTCCTAAACCCTATAGTATTCCATAGTGGGCTTGGAGCTGAATTCAAGGCATTAAGTTCGGGGTGTAGACTTTCAGGGCTGACGGTGCAGCTGTCTGCTGATCTGTCAGTGCATCTGCCTACGTGTACCTATGTTCGTATCATGATATAAAGGTTTCTCCAAAGAAACAGTACAATTATACATACAAAAGTATCTCGTTGTACATATCTATATATATATATATAAGTTCGTCGTACTCCTGCATGTTGCTCTTGAACAGCTTGCAAACCTCTTTCCCCCATAGACTCCTCCACCCAGTCCTCC